GGGTGCGTGACAGCTGCCGGTGAGTGAGACTACACCGGGGAAGGGCCAGCCCCCGCGCACAGCAGACAAGGCGGTGGCCATGGACGTGGGCACATGCAATGACCTCGGCAACGAGTTTTCCTCCTCCCGCTGCCACGTAGCACTATCGTCCCTCGCCGCCGGTGCGCCTCCTGCTTTGGGCGACGTCTCCCCGTTCTCCTCTCCTCAGTTGCTGCCGCAAGTGGAGTGAGGGGCCTCGAGCACCACCGCTACCTCGCTCCTCCTCCGCCGCTAAGACGTTGTGTAGCGCCCGTTCCGTCGTGGCGCCTAGCGGGAAAATTTAAATTCTAAAAACCCTAATTGCGAAAATTGTTTCTTCGCTTGCAGTCAGTCTCTGTGCCATTCCGGATCTCGAATCCCCGATCCATCGTCGAATTCAAATCCCGAATCCAATTCCTTCCCAAATCGAATTCCTCCGCAAAAGTCTATTTTGCCTCCCTCGGGTTCGATGGGCCGATTCCCTCTCGGCCCATCTTTCTCTCTCTCTCTCTCTCTCTCTCTCTCCCTCCCTATCTCGCTTTGCCCGCGCGTGCGCGAGAGCCGCGCCGAGCGCCTCCCCCTCGCTCTCCCTCTCCCCGCCTCCATCCCCGGCGAGCTCCCCGCCTGCGAAATCGGCCCCCGCGCGCCGTTGCTTCGCGCGCGCGCCCGCGTGGTCGCCGTCTGTGCCGCGCCTGCGCCGTCTTCGCTGCCCGGCCCCGCTGCCCTGCCACGCCTGTAGCCGCGCAGCCGCTCGACCCCGCGAGCCAGCACGCGTGCCCGAGCCGCGCCGCTCAAATCGCCGCGCGCCGTTGCTTCCCGCGCGCGCTCGCCGTGGTGGCCGACCGCCTGGTCGCCGCCGCCGTCAGCATCTGCCACGCCTGCCCGCGCCTGCCGCCCGTGTCGCTGCTCCGCTCCACACCGCCCCCGCCGTCATCGCCGTCGTCACGACCTGGCCCCGCCACTCCGCACGCTAGCTTCCAAGGGATGGAGGCAGAGCTCCTCCTCCCTCTGCCGCGTCGCCCTCTCTCCCTCCTCCTTTTCCCAAAGTGGCAACGGGCAAGCCCCCCTTTCTCTCCTCCTTTTCCCTTTTCTCTTCCGCCGGCGTCACCCCCCCTGTCGCCGTTTTGGCCGCGACCGCCGAGCGCTAGCTCGCTCCCTTGACCGCCCTAGGTCGGTTCCCAAATCGACATCGCCTCCTATTTAACCAAGGCGCCCTCCCATCGATTCCTCCTCCCGTTTCGCTCGCCACCACCACACCATTGCCGCCCCTCTGTCTCGCCTCCGCCGTTCATCGCCAAGCATCGGGAGAGCCGGTGCGTGCAAAGGACGCGTGAAGGGGACTTCGGGCACATCGTCTTCCTCCGCTTCCTCGGCCTGAGGCCGAAGAGATCACTCCCGTGCCGTCGGCCCATCGTCACTGCGCCCCGTCCCGCACGGTAGTGCATCTCCCCGTTCTCCCTCCTCGATCCATCTCCTCCCCTTAGACTCGGTTAGTGGCATGTGTAGCCTCCCCGTAGCAAACTTGCGCCGCCCCGACTGCTGCCATCACTCACAGTGGGCTCGCCGCCGTCGCCGCCCGAGTCCGGTAACCACCTCTCGTCGCCGGCCTCCCACGGCGTGTTTCCTCCTAATCCGGTGCTAGGAATGCATTACCGTAGCCGTGTAGATGCTCTCACCGCCGGGAATCAGCCCCTCGTGACCTCGTCGCCGTTTCCCCCTTTTCTCGCCGCCGGTTGCCGCCACCGCAATCTGCCGCCGACGAACTCCCTCCGGCGAATCCAAGCCGTTGGCTCGCTCCCTCTCGTTCTCCCTCGTCATTCCGGTGTACACCCCGTCGCCCCTCGTCGTCGCACGGCATCCCGGAGAAACCGCCGCCGCCCGCCGTCTATTCGCGGCCGGCGCCTTCGTCTTCCTCTCGCCGGCCCGCGTGGCTGCCATGAAGGCACCACGTCGGTGCCACCTCGGCCGCGACCGGGTCGAGCCGACCCTGGTCAGCCGCTCCCTCCGGCCCCGCTCACGCGCGCGGTCCACCGCGAGCCGTGAGGCTGCGCGTGGGCCAGCCGTATCCGCGTCCTCTGCGAACCGCGCGCGTGCACCGCGTCTCTTTCCCCGAACCCTAGCGCACGCAGCGTGCTCCCTCCGCACGGTGAGCCGAGCCACCGAAAAGCAGGTCCCACTCGGGACCACGCGAGATGGACCCGGCCCACCAGCTCCCTCTCTCCTCCCCGCCCGCGCGCGCGCCTTGGGCCGCCTTCTCTGGCCGGCCGACCCGTTAAGTTCGGCCGAGCCGCCCCTTTCTCTCGGGCCGCGCCCTAGCCGCCCGAGGGAAGTCTAATTCCCCTCCCTCTTTATTTTCTTTTCTTTTCTCAAAAAGGATTTAAATAAATCCTTTTCCTTTAGATCAAAAATCCAATAATCTTAGAAATTCAATATCTTATCAGCTGTATGTCCGTTTGACTCCGTTTAACTTCCAAAATTCCTCAAATCTCGAGATCTATCTAATGGCACGCTTAGAGGTCAATAATAGGGCTTTATTTTCACCGTTTGTTGAGTTGTCCCGTTTCGCGTGTAGTTTCGGAGCCCGAAGACCCGCAGTGCGAGGATTTCGAGGATCAAGCTCAAGGTCTCGAGCATGGCAAGTCACTTTTGATCATCTTGCACCTATAATTTAAATCTAAGTATTTCTTTTTTGCAAATATTGCATGGATAGGAATTACACAAGTAATTCGGCCGCGACTTGCGAGATAGCCTGCCGGCCCCCAATCCTAATTGCTGCAATTACCCTCCTTGAATTATTGAACACTTAAACCTCCTTTGTCAACTGTTGTGCTTCGATGCGCGGGCCCTCGGGTACGCGCATCGGAACACCCTCCCCTCAAAATATAAAATAGCCAACGATGGGTAAAACTTGGGTTTTACAAAAGACTTGGAAAACCCGACACCTGCGTCGGTGCTTGCGAACTAAATGAATTTCCAAAATCGCGGACCGGAGAACGTACCGGGTGTACGGTTTCCCGCTCTTGCACTTAAGGACCGTTTCCTTGGAATTTCATCCGAACATAAGACAAGTGCAACCACATGGGTGAAATGGGACACCCCTGGCTGAGTAAATTGCTAATCGGGGGAGCCTTGATGCCAAGAGACATGTGGATTCAACGGGGTGGTGTCGGGGAGAACCCCCGGGCTTCTTGGCACAGTATGGTCTGGAACCTAATCTGGTATTGGTCTGGGACCCGTCTCGTTGGCATATGGTGAACCTGTGTCGGCTTTCGAAATGCCTTGTCATGAAAGCCTTAAGGTCTCTAGACGTGGCCGTTTTGCACGGGCTGGATGATCCGGGTTAGTAATGTCGTGTGGGTAAAGTGTACCCCCTCTGCAGAGGTTAACAAACTGTTCGAACAGCCGTGCCCACGGTCATGGGCGGATGTGAGGTGATTCCTAGCGTAGTTTTGTTTGACTACTGCTTTGTGAAATTGCTGCTGTGGAATGGGTTCGATGTTTGGAAAATCGGCGGCTGATGGGATCAGCCAGGCCCGGGTGGCCGTTTGAAAGCTGTTGGCCGGGTGCCAACCTTGATCAATTCAAAGACTGATATATTGCACATACTCCGACCGGACGAGACGCACTGCTTATCCGTGTCGTTTGAGAAGCACTCACTTAGTCGTTTCAAAAAGGAGTTTAAATAAAATCAATTGCAAAAACAACAGCCTTTTCTTTGAAGCCTGCATTAAACACTTAATTCCCATGGCTTGCTGAGTACTCCTGTACTCACCCTTGCTCTATATAAATAATCCCCCCCAGTTGCTGAAGAAGATGATGTGGCCCCCGCTGACGAAGAGTTCTTCCAGGAGCAAGTCGGCTACGATGAGTTTTAGGGTTTCGGCCTAGTTCCCAAGTCGCGCCTGTGATGTTTGGTCCAAGTCTTGGCTTCCGCTTTCCCTTTTGTAATGCAGTTGTGAGCTCAGGATCTGTCCGCAGCCCAACATGACTGTACTCCTACTCTATAATAAAGAGACCTCTGTCGCTGTGATATACTGTCTTCCTGTGTTACCAGCACTGTTTCCTGGGACTGGTATCGATTAACAGGTTAATTTGGAGCGTCACGGGCTAGTTCCGCTCGGGGCTAGTTCGGGGCGTGACACGTTGTCCCTGCCCTCGCCTTGCCGGATCCGCAAACACCGTGAACCTTGACGACACCAGTTTGACTTTGACCGAACATCTTATAACCTAAAACGGAGGAAGTATCTTGTTGGAAACACACTGTTGATTCTGAGCTGTTAGCGAGGTCGCTGAGCCCTAATTTCTTCCATAAGTATGTTCCTGGTTGACATCTGGCCAGACTGTGATCTGCTGTTTCAAAGGCAGGGCATTGCGGAGGGCATAGGTCACAATGGGGATTGTCAATCCATTTTTTCTTCATCATATTGCCATATTGGCATTAGTGTTTAATATCTGTCTCTCAAAGCTAAAGCACATAATGTCTGATGAAAGGTTAACAGCACCATTCTAAAAAAAAAAAGGTTAACAGCTGATATGCATTCGAGGTGGAGCGTTGTTTGCAAGGGGACAGAGCTCTTTGGTCAGGTGACCGTGACTCTGAATTGGGGCAGAAATCATTCAGAAACAGCTGCATATCTTGTAGCTCTAGCTGTCTTGGTGAGAAGGGTTTGGAAATTTGGATGCAGTTGTATGTGCCAAGACTTAATGACAAATTATCATGAGTCACTCGGAGAGGAGTCACTGAGGGCATGTTTGGTTGTTGCCTAATGTTACCCCTTGCCACAAGCCCACAACTCAACTCGTCCTTGTTTAACATTACACAACATGTTTGCCATGTTGGTGGACCACTGGGCCCCTAGCCTGTACTACTACTGGACTTCGATAGAAGACGAATTGACTTGCTGCTGCCGACTGCTAGTCGAAGTCTTTCATTAAACAAGTAGGATTTGCGAGATCTATTGCTCTGAACTAGGTCCCGTATAATTTCCTTCCCCACCGGGAGCTCCGTCCTGCACTCACGCAGTCACGCCGCTTGGTCTGTTGTCTTTGTGCATCTCCGTTCCTTCGTGCTTCGCTGTTCCCAAATCCCAATACCAGCCACGCCGGGTTAGTTCACTGACCCACCCGAAGCTTACACTGTTGCAGTCTAAATATGTTGCCACTTGCTGTCTTGCCATGTGCCGAAAGACAACATGGGTCACTCCAGTATCTAGTTTACTTATCCATAGACCACAGCTGTTGAATTGTGTGATCGGCTACTAGTACATCACTGCTCGTGATTCAGTACGTACACCGCGGTAACTGGTAAGGAGGATTCGCATCGTCGACAATGGCGGCTGCAGCGGTGGCTGACGAAAATGGGTCGCCCAAGAAGACGAAGCAGGGTGGCTTCAAGACATTGCCATTCATACTAGGTGATCCTCCTCGTAACCTCGTTTACACTTCCATATCTTGGTTTGGTTCTTGATGGAATTTTCGTTCAGTGCAAGTACTGCATCTCAAGTGTTCGATTCGTGTTCTAAGAGTACACTACTCCGTCAATGCAGCGAACGAGGTGTGCGACAGGTTCGCCACGGCCGGATTCAACGCGAACATGATCACGTACCTGACACAGCAGCTGCACCTGCCGCTGGTGGAGGCCTCGAACCTCCTCACCAACTTCACCGGCACGGCGGCGTTCACCCCGGTGCTGGGCGCGATCGCCGCCGACTCCTTCGCCGGCCGCTTCTGGACCATCGCCGGCGGCGGCGTGCTGTACCAGATCGGCATGCTCGGCCTCGTCGTGTCCGCTCTCGTCCCTGCCCTCCGCCCCGCGCCGTGCGGCGGCGGCGGCGCCGCGGCCCCGTGCCAGCGCGCGGACGGCGGGCAGCTCGCCATGCTGTACCTGTCGCTGCTCTGCACCGCGCTCGGGTCCGGCGGCATCCGGCCGTGCGTGGTGGCGTTCGGCGCCGACCAGTTCGGCCTCGGCGGGAGGCGCCCCGGCGGCGAGCAGAAGTGGAGCTACTTCAACCTCTACTTCTTCAGCATGGGGCTCGCCGTGCTGCTCGCCCTGACGGTGGTGGTGTACATCCAGGAGACCGTGGGGTGGGGGTGGGGGTTCGGGATCCCGGCCATCGCCATGTTCGTCTCCGTGCTGTCCTTCGTCGTCGGGTACCCGCTCTACGTGAAGGTGAAGCCCGAAGGGAGCCCCTTCAAGCGGCTTGTGCAGGTCGTCGTCGCCGCGTTCAAGAAGATCAAGGAGCCCGTGCCGGACGACGCCGGCGAGCTCTACCACAACAAGGAGCTGGACGCCGCCATCGCCGCCGACGGGAGGCTGCTCCACTCCGACCAGCTCAGGCAAGCATTTTCAATGCATCGATCTCTGTGTCCTTTTACATGTGGTTCGTTGTTTATTTTGACGCAATTCAACGTGTCAGAGAGTTAATAACGTATTTGCCCCACCACGTGAAGGTTCTTGGATCGAGCGGCGATCGTGACGGCGGGGGACATCGCCGGCTCCGGCGAGCCGAACCTGTGGCGGGTGTCGACGGTGCACCGCGTGGAGGAGCTCAAGTCCATCGTCCGCATGCTGCCGCTGTGGGCGGCCAGCATCACCGCCATCGCCGCCGGGTCGCACAACTTCACCTTCGCCATCCAGCAGGCGCGCACCATGGACCGCCACCTCGCGCCGAGCTTCCAGATCCCGCCGGCGACCATGATCATCTTCACCACGCTGACCATGCTCGTCAGCCTCGCGCTCTACGACCGCGTCCTCGTCCCCGTGGCGCGCCGCTACACCGGCCGGCGGTCGGGCATCACCTACTTCCAGCGCATGGGCGCCGGCTTCGCGGTCGCCGCGCTGGGCGTCCTCGCCGGCGCGCTCGTCGAGGCCAAGCGGCGCGCCGCGGCGGCCGAGCACGGCCTGCTCGACGCCCCCGGCGCCGTCGTGCCGGTCAGCGTGTTCTGGCTTGTCCCGCAGTACGCGCTCCACGGCGTGGGCGACGCGCTCGCCACGGTGGGGCACATGGAGTTCCTCTACGACCAGTCGCCGGAGAGCATGCGGAGCTCGGCGGCGGCGCTGTTCTGGGTCGCCGGCTCCCTCGGCAACTACCTGGGCACGGTGCTGGTCACGGTGGTGCAGAGCGCCAGCAGAGGGGAGTGGCTCCAGGACAACATCAACAGGGGGAGGCTGGACTACTACTACTGGCTCGTCACCTTCCTCTTGGTGCTCAACCTCGCCTACTACTTCGTTTGCTTCCATTTTTACACCTTGAAGTCGTTCGAGGTGGACGCCGGAGACGAGGCGCAACGGCGGCGAGATGTTGCCGGGAGTGCAGAAGGAGAGACTGAGCTCTCTGCTGGTTGTGTTGTTGCGTCAAGAAATGGGGTGTTGTAAGCTAGCATAATTAGGGAGTGACTTATTGACATCAGTGAAGTAATTTGGTCAGAGCTATCTTTCTTTTAGCGAGTTCATATTCAATCAAATATTTTTCTGGCATACGATCAGAAATTATTTTTTTCCGGGATAAATTGATACATCTCGCCTTGATATTTTACTTGTTTATGTAAACACTGATCAAACAGAGAAAATCCTTTGAGGACATGGGCATATACACTTCTTGTTCTTGAATATATGACACACAAAAATACGTTCTTCTATTTGCCAGAGAGTTCATAAAATCTCGGCAATTTATATGGTGAGATCAAAGCATAAACCATCTATGTAGTAAAAGTGAACATATTATTCTGTTCCAATCCGGCAAGGGGATTGAAATGCACATTCTACTTCAAGGTTCCTCCTTTCTTGCCATCGCCCTCGTTGCCATTTCCACGGTAGAGCTCGAGCTCCTCCTCAGGTTTCACCGTCTCCAATGGCTTGAAGGTGTAGTACCTGACGCAGACGAAGTAGTAGATGAGGTTGAGCCCCTGCAAGCCGAAGACGAGCCAGTAGTAGCTGTCCAGCTTGGCTCGGTTGAGGTTGTCCTGCAGCCACTGCCCGCTCCGCTGCGTCTTGGCGTGGATGATGGTGACGAGCAGCGTGCCGAGGTAGCTGCCGATCGACATGGTGAGCCAGTAGAGCGCCGCCGCGGTGCTCCGCATGCTCTCCGGCGCCTGGTCGTAGAGGAACTCCATGCGGCCGACGTCCATGAAGGCGTCGGCGACGCCGTGGATGGCGTACTGCGGCACCAGCCAGAAGACGCTGATGGGCAGCGAGCTACCCTTGGGCGCGTCGAGCATGCCGCTCGCCGCGGCCACGGACTTGCGGCGACTCTCCACGACCGCGGCCACCGCGTTGGCGAGCATGGCAATGGTCATGCCCACGCCGGCGCGCTGGAGGTGGGTGATGCCGTTTGGGTGGCCCGTGAAGCGGCGGAGCACGCGGACGAGGACGCGGTCGTAGAAGGCGAGGGTGAGCAGCATGGCGAGGTTGGTGAAGATGAGCATGGAGGCCGGCGGGATCTTGAAGTGCGGCGTGATGTCGCGGTCCATGGTGCGCGCCTGCTGGATCGCGAAGCTGCTGTTGTGCGACGCCGAGGTCACCAGCAGGATGCCCGCCGCCCAGATGGGCAGCATGCGGAGGATCGACTTGAGCTCCTCGACGCGGTGCACCGTCGACAGCCGCCACAGCTTCGGCTCGCCGGACGGCAGCACGTCGCCGTCCGTGATAATGGCCGCCTTGTCAAAGAACCTTTGCAAGAACAAACAGTTGATTAATTAGCCCCTAATCGCATCGCCAGTTCGCCGCTTGCTATAGGAGTTCAACTTACTTTAGCTGATCGGTGTGGAGAAGACGGCCGGTGGTGGAGATGCCGGCGTCGAGCACCTTGTCCTCGTAGAGGCGGCTTGGCTCCGGCATGACGGCTTTCCTCTTCTTGAAGGCGGCGGCTGCGACCTGCGCCAGCCGGACCAGGGGGCTGCCGGCGGGAGGCATCTTGACGTACATCGAGTAGCCGGACACGAAGGCGACCACGGCGGCGAACATGGCGATGGTGGGCACGCCGAGGCCCCACCCCCACCCGACGTTCTCCTGGATGTACACGATGACGGTGACGGCGGTGAGCTTGGCGAGCTCGATGCCGAAGAAGTAGAGGTTGAAGAAGCTCCACTTGGGCCCCTTGCGCCCGCGGCGCCCGCGCGCGCCAGCGTCGAGCTCGAGCTGGTCGGCGCCGAACGCCATGATGCAGGGGCGCGTGCCGCCGGTGCCGATGGAGGTGAAGAGCAGCGAGGCGTAGAGCACGGCGATCTGGGAGGACGAGGCGCGCTGGCAGTCGGCGGCGTGCTTGGCGCAGGGCGGCGGGCGGAGCGAGGGGAGCGCGGCGGAGAGGGTGAGGAAGACCATGCCGAGCTGGTAGATGACGGAGCCGAACGTGATGGTCCAGAACCTGCCGGCGAAGGAGTCGGCGATGAGGCCGCCGACGAGCGGGGTGAGGTTGGCGGTGCCGTGGAAGTTGGTCAGCGTGTTGGAGGCGTCGACGAGGGGGAGGTGCAGCTGCAGGGTCAGGTACGTGATCAGGTTGGAGCTGAACCCCACATTCGCGAGCCGGTCGCAGAAGTCGTTCGCTGCATTCGGTGAGGGATGGCGGGAAATGTTACAACTTCAAAAATTGTTGAGAGCCAGTTCTAAAATAAACACAACAATTTCCTCCTCTAGTCCCTGTTTAGAAAAGGAGAAATTTACGGTTTCTTGAGAGTTATTAAGAGCTAGGTACAAAAAAAATTATTGTAAATTTTCGTACATTGTACTGTCAGAGGTACCAAATTTTACAAGTATGTAAAATCACTCCATATTCGACTTAAGAAATTAGGGAAAATATAAGCTTGCAATGGACTTTGCTCATTTTGACATGTTTTTTTAACACCGTTAAGGCGTTAAGTTCTCTCTGAATGGGATAAGGGCGAACACAAGTTTCGGTTAAAAACACATGAGGACAAAATCACAATTGAAAACAGTGGTAAGAATACCATTTCCCTTTTGAGAAATAGCATTTTTACGGTCCAGCAATTTGTACCTCCTGATACCGGTACCTGTAGGTACCAAAAAAATCGAACCGTTCAATTTTAGAGGAGTACGATCATGAGGAAAAATAGCGGTGGAGGAGATGGTGGCGGGGGTGGTGGAGGCGACACCGCGATGGAGGAGGAGGAGGAGATGGCGACCGCGGAGTAGGCGCCGGTGAAGGAGGTGGCAGCCGCGGCGGTAGCAAAGCAGCACTTGTGGAGGAGGTGGTGGCGGCAAGGGTGGCGAGGCGACGGAGGAGGCGCTGACGGCGAAGTAGGTGCCGACAGAGGAGGAGCTGGTGGTGGAGGAGATGCGGCATGACGGCTGGGAAGGAGACGGCGCACACCTCTAGCTCTATTCATCCGCACGCGAAATTACATTCTTGCCCCTCCACCTCTATTCACCGCGAAGTACCAAATCAGAGGCAGAAGTGGTACCTGGCGGTACCTAATTCCGTCAGCTGTTGGATCTGCTCGATCCAACGGCCACGATTTGATACCGTCAGGTACTGTTGGATGGTAAAAATCCTCTTTGAGAAAACGCTATATTCTTTTAGATAGCTAAGTTTGAACCTACACTGCAAAGTAATGCGTACTGAAATTTCCGTTCCACTATACTTTAGTACTCATTCCGTGTGAAAAAATGTCTGTATTTTTTTTCGCCAAGCCGGCAAATGTTTGATAGAAATGTTTCATTGATTTATTAAAAAGTTTGTGGAAAATTTGCTCTCAGTCCCTTGATAGAAAATGCAAACCTGATAAACTCAGAATTTTATATATATATAAAGGGAGGTGTCGAGCTCGTATGTATATTCTATCATTCTCGTGTTTGTTTCTGGTGAAGGGTGTCATGTACTCATACCTAATTGTCGAGCTCTTTTTATATTCATCACAAATATCTGGAGATTCCTTCTCTTATACAGTAGTTAAGTATAGAAATGGGGCCTTTTCCAGCCCTAGTTAAAAAAAAAGTAGTTAAGTAGTAATTCAAAACAAGGGAAACTTTGTTACAGTTTTAGCCCTTCATTTCCCTCAAAAAAGTTTTAGCCCTTCATATATACGATCAAAAGGATATTTGGATATTTGACAAAATAGGCTGCTTGAATTTAGTGGTCGTGAAAGCTTTGCCATAGATCTGATTCTGATTCTGCACGTAGCAACAGTAGTGATATCGTTTTTTTACAAGGTCGCAACCACATGAGAGCTACTGTTTGGCATTTTTAGGACTTGGGCTATGCGTAAAGATGATCCTTGATGCTGTTCGACAGGTCGGGTTCTTGGGCGTCAGTCCAAAGAAAACGTCATTTCGTTTCCTACAAGCTCATGGAACCGTGCAATTTGTCTTCGAATGTCGTTTTGACTAGTAGACACCTTGTTTGACTACATGACCTCAGAATTAATTCCTACTCTATGCAGCTGCAGCCTGGTGGTATCCAGCTAGCCCAAGATCCCCAAGAACACCGAGATGGAATTAAACAAAAATCTTTTGGATCAATCTTTGCCAAACTACTAATTTTAATGATCTAATCATTCATGTTCTGATGTGATCATGTGAGCCTGATCAAGCAAAGAAAAGAAGCAGCATTTGTGAAGCAAAGATACTAAAATCAGATTACCTAGGATGAACGGCATGGTCCTGAAGCCTCCCTGCTTCGGCTTCTTCACCGCCACCACGTCCACGGCCTTCTCCTCTCCTCTTCCATCCTCCGCCATTGTTCTTCTCCCTCCTCCTCTGCAGGTGAAGCTTCACAGTTGCAGCAGCCTCTGCTTTCTCTCTCTCTCTCTCTCTCTCTCTACCCAGGAGCAATGAGCTTTCAGTAGCGTGTGAGAAATGGAGATGCTTTTTATAAAGGACTCGCGCGAGGTTGAGACTATTGGATTTTGGAGCTTCAGAGATATGGCCGTGCCCTGAAATGTCCCTGGGAAAGAACAGCTCCACCACCACTTGATGATTGAGATGCGACGCCATTGAGGCTCAGCATCCACTGCAGAGTAGTCAGAATCGAACGGCATCAAATCTCTCCACTATAAGCAAGTACTAACGGTTTTTTATTTCTGATCCATATGGATTATCTCATTACATGTTGTCTGATTTATCGTCAATATCACTTTGCAAATCTTGCAGGAAATGCGCAATCAGCATGTCTAATCATTTGCTCAAGATTAGTCTCAACTCTCAAGTGGTGGGATATGTTGTGTCACATCTCACCAGTAACTAAGAGGAAGAGGAATAGAGGATCCTTGGAGATCTGATCATAACTTGGTGGAATGTTTGGCTTCAACGTAACCTTAGAATTTTCCAACATATTTGGCTAAACGAAAACCAGGTGGCTTTCTTGATACAGGAAATTATAAGTGAATAGCTCTTTCCAAAAGGCCCATGTGATAGCCTTAAAGGGATTACGAGTCAATGTATCTGTGGAGTTTATATCCATAGCAATAGCTGTTTTAGTTGCTTCCTCAGT